AACAAACACCATCCAAATCCGGGAGCAATGACGTCACCAATCGCCTAGGGACGCATGTCGTTCGGTACCTTCCAGACCTCGCTGTTTTCGCGAGACCCCATTATGCGCTTCTTAGATGTTACTCTCCATATCGAAACACCGACTGACGACAGATTTCCAGATCAGTTGGTCGCAGTAGCTGATCCTGGGGGCGTTGCAGTAGGTGCAGGTCGCAACATTCCTCCTGGAGCTGCTCGTGGAGGTGCGAATGCTGGTGGTGTTGAGGTATGCGGAGGTGCAGCAGTGGATGCCGGTGGCGTTCCGATAGGTGACATTCCTCGTGGTGTTCCTGCCCCTCTTGTCGCTGCGCCTTTAGTAGCCGCGATGCCACTACCGGCAGAAGTTGCGCCTTTGGCTGCCGCATTGCCTTCCACAGGAAGGAAAAGGGCCGACACGGGCAAAGCCAAGTGGGGCTAAATCACAGAATTGTAAGTTATGGCTCCCTTCGCTTGCCTTACATGCACTTGCATCTTGCATCACATCGACTGACAAACTGTCTGGAGGACTTCTTTCCTCTGTTTGCAGGGAGTGCTGCTTGAATAGCTCTGAACTCTTCCAAAGCCTGACAGGATTTGTTGAGGAAGGTTCCAATGTCTCTTGCTTTTTTCACGGATGCAGCATACGGTTTGCCAAATGTTGTTGAGGTATCATCATAGCAGCCCTTGACAGTTAGCTGAAGAACATGGTCAGTGCAATATATATGGGGGGGGGACACTGCGATCGATCTTCCAATTTCATTCCAAACTTGTTCATGTTGCCAGTGGTATCGGTAGTCACCAACACCCAAGATAGACCAGGTATTGCCAAAATAACCCAGGATACCCCAGGTGTTGGGTATTGCCAATACCTACAATTGGCTAGGTATTGGCAACTGCTAGCAATACCGTGCTATTGCAATAGAGTAGAGTATTGGTATGCTCGAGCAATACTATAGTACAGAATTAAAATGCATTTTGCACGGGCGTTTTGGGACAACACCAATTTACTATATAAAACACAGTACAAGTGATTTAATGGGGTCTGTCCCAGTGTCTTTTGAGTGGAATGACACTAGAAAGCTTCCGTGCACAATTATATCCGAATCTCAATAATAGTAGAGAAAGGGGATCAAGCCTTAACATGTAAGCTATACCTGCGTCAGTCTGCTTAACATGTGAATTACAGTGGTATTGATATGAGGGAGATTATTTGAAATGCGCGACTTTGGGTTAAGTAAACTAGTCATTTGGGACAATCAATACAGTACTAAGTGGTTTAAAAATGTTTTTCAACCAATTTACGCCTGATAAAGCACGGTCCCATTAGAAACCCTCTTTAATCTCGTTTTGGTAATACCAATAGCAATACTGTTGTTGGTATAATACCATTGCAATTCCAACCCCTAGCTAGCTTTCAGGGTTGGTCCTAACGAGTCATTTACGTGCTCCGCCGCTCGCCAGGGCAGAATTTGAGTACCGTATGAACCTCCAACTGCTGCGGATTTTGGTACGTCCAAAAGGTTTACAAAGAAAAAGTAGTCTCGCGTACCAAAATTCGCAGCTTTTGAAAAATCATCTCTCGGCCAATCAGAAAAAGGCAAGCGCGACGAGCTTTTAAAAGGGACTCAAAATTTCACTAACTTTAACTCTACAAGTCTTTTGAAATGAAAGTTTACGTTCGATGAGATGGAATACGCAGTTGCCACTGTTGCCGCTGTTGCTAAACTTGTGTATCAAGATGGACGACGCCGCCATGGGAGCAGCCTTTGAGGCTGCATCTGATGACATTACAATGATGCTGCTACTCCATCTCTTCCTGTTCTCCCTGGGTGTCATCTTGTTTGTGCCACAGGAAAGGAATCCTTCTCTGTTTGAACAGCGCTTGGCATGGGATGATTATTGTGTTCGCCATGTACAGCGTGGCACTTTCAAAAGGAGGCTCAGAATGAACAAGAAATCATTTGACAAACTCTTGTCTTTCATAGAAGAAGCACTATTGGTGGATGAGGCGCATGCTGCCAACAGAGGTGGAAGCATCATCCCAGAGATTTGTCTTTATTGTGCCATAAGATGGCTTGCTGGTGGCTCTTATTTGGACATTTCTGATATTGCTGGTATTTCGAAGTCTTCCTTTTACAGAGTTGTTTGGAAAACAATCACAGCCATCTGCAAGTGTCCTTCCCTGCGCATTCGATTTCCCAAAACACCACAAGAGATACGGGCTGCCATTGGTGGTTTTACATCACTCAGTAACCAACAAGCAATCATCAACTGTGCAGGAGTCTGTGATGGATATCTCATGAGGATTAGAGTGCCATCCAAGCTTGAGGTCGGCAATGTGCGCTCCTTCTTCTCTGGCCACTATCAATGCTATGGTATCAACATTCAGGCCTGTGTTGACTGGTCCTGTCGATTCACTCACTTTTCGTTTGCTGCTCCCGGAGTGACCGATGATCGAAATGCCATCAAACAATGCTCCCTTTTTGATCTGATCGAAGCCCTTCCCAAGGGTATTTGCGTCATTGGCGATGCCGCTTATCAACCCACAGAACACATGGTAGCCGTTTACCATGGAGTGGACAAATTGGATGTCAAATACGACAATTTCAACTACTATGCTAGCCAGCTACGTATTCGCGTTGAAATGGCATTTGGGATGATGCAGCAGAAATGGGGTATTCTACAAAGGCCCTTGGGTTGTTCCATGAAGAACATGTTGTGGCTGGCTCAGGCCATTGCTCGCCTCCACAACTTCTGCATCAACGAGCGACTAGAGGAAGATGGAAACTTGGATAATGCTGGAGATGTCGGTGGTAGCAGCAGTAGCCGGTCTTATCTGCCAAGCGTTCCCCACGGAGAAGATGGAGATCCAGTTGTGTTGGAGGGAGCTTTCCACGGAACAATCGAGAATCATTCTGAGTTGCGAGAGTTCATGGCCACGAGAGTGGAAAGAATGGGATTGGTTCGACCGGGCAATGAGAAGAAGACAGAACAACAACAGCGTCGAAAACAGAAGCGTCGCAGACTACAGGAAGAGGAAGATGCTGGAGGTAACGTAATCTAGTTCTTTAATTTAGACATCGACACAAGAACCACCTTTCTGTAACAACATAACACGGGCATTTTACGTGCTGGTGTGCTTGGAACCTGTGACATCGCTTGTAGCTGTTTCGCCATCTGCGCCAGTAGTCACCTCAGAAGGGATGTGTCCTAGGGTAACAGAGAATTCTGCAGCAATACCAACCAGCGCTTCCAGTTTCTTAATGCGAATGGCCAAGTTTCGCATCAAGGGTAGCATCCTTGGATCTCCGGCCATGCCAAGAAAGCGACCAGACATCGATTGGTACTCTGCCCAATGCCTGGTTTCTGCCTCTTCGTTTTTCCTGTTGTCGCTTGTTTTCACAGTCTGTTCGTGCATGGAGCGAATGCTGTCACTGGTCTCTGTTAGAGTTTTGACAAGGGTATCCACAGTCTTGCTCTTACCACCTTTCTTAGCATCACTGCCATCTCCAGCACTCCCAGTCAGATCCACTTCTGAATCACTCTTTTGGTTCTTGTCCATGAAGGCCGCAAACTTGCCATCAATGCCGGGATGCTCAACACAGAAAAGGTGACAATAATAGACAACAACAGCAGGGACAGGAGCTGAGCTTTGTCGGAGCTTCGTGAATGTGGTGTTAGTGCAGAAATTCCACATGTCATTGCTTCCTTGGCCAGACTGATGCATCTTCGACAAACAAGTTTCCCGTGCTTTCATTACGTCACTTATGAGCTGCTGGCAAGATTCGTGCGTCTGTTGGTTGAAACAATTCAGGTTGCATTCCTCAACTTCGTTCATGTCGCGCATTCTCTGATCTTCTCCCTCTTGACAGTGCAATACAACACCAATTCGTTCATTGTTAGTTGGGTCGTTCACTAGATTAGAGAGACCAATCCAGAATGCTTTAACAGGGTTGCCTCCATTTGCTTTCTCATAGTCTGTGCGGCCTTTGGTGTCATTCAACTGTTTGAAGTCACCGATAACTTCAGGGAGAAAGCAAGCGTTAATCGCTCTCATCCAAGTCGCTTTCTTTCTTTGATCTGCAGTGATCTTTGGGTTGGAAATGGTCAAATCGTTGTAGATGGTTCCCATATTCTTTACTTGAGCGATTGCCTTTCTTGCTTTGTAAAGCGTCATGTTGCCGCCTCCTCTAACTCCACAGTTCTGGGCCAGTTTCCGAATCTGTTTGCTGTTGAAGGTTGCGAGATCTAGCTTCTCTTCCTTTGGCTTCCCTTTGAATACTGTTAGATACTTGGCGACTGGATTGAATTCCTGGTCTTCCGAGTTCTTCGACTTGGGGTCACTCTCTTCAGCGCACTCAATCCTATCCATGTATTGCTTAGAGAAATGGTTGACGGTGTTATCAATCAGCTTCTGAGTTCGGTCAATTTCTTCCTTTTCGGCATCTGTCTTCTTGGATGTCTTGGCAGCCTTCTTCCTTGGTGGACCAAGGGAAGGAGAAGCAGCTCTCGAAACAGGCTCACTATTGGTCCCAGGTACACGCCTCTTAGTAGCAGATTCTGGCACTGGTGGAAAAGAAGTGAAAGGATCTTGGTAGTAGGGCAATGGTCGCTCAGGGGGGCGATGCCTCTCTCTTCTCCACTGTTCCCAGAGAGCCCACGATGGATGTTCTTTGGGTATGGCATCTTCAGGAATGGCCTTTATTCCAGCAGTGGGGAAACCAGGGATTGGTCCCAGTTCATGCATCAGTGGGCCAAGGGGATCACGTGCAACAGCTGGGGAAGGTGCACGAGCAACAGCTGGGGAAGGTGCACGAGGAACAGCTGGGGAAGGTGCACGAAGGACATTCTGGAAACTGCCCTGGGAAGATTGGGATGGCTGGGAAAGCTGCAGGGGTGATGATTGATGAAGAGTACTAGTACCGCGTTGACTGCGTGAAGGCTGGTCAAATTCTTCCTCTTCCGAGGATGTGTCAGACAGCAACAGAGAGATCCCTCCCTTGCTTCCTTTCTCCATTTTGAAGTGAATTGTGAGCTGAGCATTCCTAAAATGCTCTTGGGATCCATGGATCGTTCTTTGTGTTACAGCCACGTTCAACGTTCATTTGATCTTGCTAAAAGCTTTATCGATTATTCCTTTACAGCTATCTATATTACATTCTCAAGATCGCCGCACTGCTCGCAGAATGCTACTCCCATGCGCACTAAACTCCGACAGGCGTTGTGCTGCATCGTATTCATATGTTTCTCAGAACAGTATCACATCTGCGCTCCTTGTTATTTGGCACGTACAGTGTGAGAGAGATATGATACTTTGTTGTGGCGCTTGTGAATTTGGGGTATCACCATGCGAATGGATGCATGACTCAAAACAGATGTTTTGCGTAAGTTGCATTTTTGATAAGAACCAACGCATGTACGCAGAATGGGAGTCGTAATTTACGCGAGCCTTAGGAACTACCCTCAGCCTTAGCCCATACCGGTAGTCAGTACGTACCTTCCATCCCATGTGTCCTGGTTGGGGCAAAAGCGGGTGGTGGGCTTTTATAAAGTTTTAAGAATAACGTTTTAATATTGTCACTATGTCTTTCCATTCCAGCTCTAACCCTTTTTAACCAATTGAATACCACTACCATCTTCCTTCTTTCCTTTCACCATTCCCTTCTTTTACGTTCCACCGTTCGATCTTGTTCTACTCAGCCTGCTACTGTACTATTAATAGTATAATAGTTCAGTGTTCACTTACTTGCTCCATGGAGGAACCCTCTCCACCAAAAGGCAAGATTGAATGTCCAACTGTGACTTTGTGATTTGAGTGCCTGTTGTTGTGTCTGAACAGATCTTCCACCCCCGAAGAGACCCACTTCGTCGCTTGCTTGGTCATGACACCTGCGCAGCCAGACCAAGATGGACAAATGGAAACCTTTCAAAAACGTTACATTGGACCTCACATGGAAGGATAACAATGTTACTCTTTTTTCCTTCGAATTGGGTGGTGAAGCCAAAGCCAAGGCAGGGGATGACGTCTCCGCAAAGCTCTTGTTGACCGTCAAGAAAGCCATCCCCACCAAAAGTCTGGAGTTGTACTTTGTCGGCGAAGAGGCGACGCAGGTCGATTACATGCAAAAGCACAAAAGCAAGGGCAGTATTAGTCACGATTTTGAACCAACGAAATGATCGGCCTATGGTGGCCATCATTTTCTCAGAATTAACTTCTCCTTGCCAATAAGTGTCTCGACCAAGATCATTCAAAATGACAAGTTGGTACCGGGAGAGTATCAAATTCCCCTTCGAATC